ACTAGAACTGAACTAGAACTGAACTAGAACTGAACTAGAACTGAACTAGAACTGAACTAGAACTGAACTAGAACTGAACTAGAACTGAACTAGAACTGAACTAGAACTGAACTAGAACTGAACTAGAACTGAACTAGAATGAACTAGAACTGAACTAGAACTGAACCTAGAACGAACTAGAACTGAACTAGAACTGAACTAGAACTGAACTAGAACTGAACTAACTAGAACTGAACTAGAACTGAACTAGAACTGAACTAGAACTGAACTAGAACGAACTAGAACTGAACTAGAACTGAACTAGAAACTGAACTAGAACTGAAACTAGAACTGAACTAGAATTGAGCTCGAACTAGACTACTAGATCCGAGCTCGACTAGTCCAGTCTATAGTAATCTATGTCTAAAAAAACACAAATTAGCATGTCAAATCATAACATATAATTTTTTTTTAAAGAATTGTATTTATGAAGTAATATGTATGTCCTGTTAATTTTCCAGCAACGTTTTTTTTTTATTATATTTAAATATATTGCCTTTTGTAGAATAAAAATAAAAAACTAAAACAAATACATAAGATTAGATAAGCAAAGTTTAGGTAAATTAATTAGGCAGCAAAAAAAGTAGGACATATCAATGGAAATTTTTAATAACGAATATAAAAAAAAAACAATAAATAAATTTTCATAAATACACAAACATGCATACGTATGTATGTTTTTAAGCAAATATGAGAATTAATAAATTCTAATGAATATTATTAAATTCATGGTGTTCGGTGGAAATATTTTTGTATAACCAGCAAAAACTTTTTTATCATCTTTAGAAGAATACACAGATAGTCATGTGGTACAAGGTAACAAATAAGATAATGACCTGATTTGGTTATAAGTTAAAGCAAAGTATTCAAAATTTTAGACCAAATAATAACTACTTCTGCTTAAAATATTCTTAACTAAAGGAGAATTACATTATGTCTTTAAATGACGAAAAAATTCTTGAATAGAACTTAACATTTTAATGTTTATGCGTTTTGTTCATATTTCGATTTGCCCTCTTTATTTCCTTTTACAAAAGTTCAAATTTTCTTCTCGCCCTCTAGCTGATTTGAAACTAATTACTATTTATATTTTCAAACTGAAAACTAAATTACCATTAGATTTTATTGTTGAAAACTCCAACACCTTGAGCGTGTGATACTGGCCCGTACCACTAAGAGTAGTACATACTTATTTAAATTACTATTTGTCCTTAATTTTTTTTTGGAATATATGTATGAGTAAATATGTATATAAATTACTACACCGTTTCCAATACTAGGAAATATACTTTTGAGATAAATGTTCAGTTATAGTTCGGTTCTAGTTCAGTTATAGTACCGATCTAGATAAGTTCTAGTTCTGTTCTAATTCTGTTTGTTCTAGTTCTGTTCTAGTTATGTTCTAGTTCTGTTCTAGTTCTGTTCTAGTTCTGTTCTAGTTCTGTTCTAGTTCAGTTCTAGTTCTGTTCTAGTTCTGTTCTAGTTCTGTTCTAGTTCTGTTCTAGTTCTGTTCTAGTTCTGTTCTAGTTCTGTTCTAGTTCTGTTCTAGTTCTGTTCTAGTTCTGTTCTAGTTCTGTTCTAGTTCTGTTCTAGTTCTGTTCTAGTTCTGTTCTAGTTCTGTTCTAGTTCTGTTCTAGTTCTGTTCTAGTTCTGTTCTAGTTCTGTTCTAGTTCTGTTGTTCTAGTTCTGTTCTAGTTCTGTTCTAGTTCTGTTCTAGTTCTGTTCTAGTTCTGTTCTAGTTCTGTTCTAGTTCTGTCTAGTTCTGTTCTAGTTCTGTTCTAGTTCTGTTCTAGTTCTGTTCTAGTTTCTGTTCTAGTTCTGTTCTAGTTCTGTTCTAGTTCTGTTCTAGTTCTGTTCTAGTTCTGTTCTAGTTCTGTTCTAGTTCTGTTCTAGTTCTGTTCTAGTTCTGTTCTAGTTCTGTTCTAGTTCTGTTCTAGTTCTGTTCTAGTTCTGTTCTAGTTCTGTTCTAGTTCTGTTCTAGTTCTGTTCTAGTTCTGTTCTAGTTCTGTTCTAGTTCTGTCTAGTTCTGTTCTAGTTCTGTTCTAGTTCTGTTCTAGTTCTGTTCTAGTTCTGTTCTAGTTCTGTTCTAGTTCTGTTCTAGTTCTGTTCTAGTTCTGTTCTAGTTCTGTTCTAGTTCTGTTCTAGTTCTGTTCTAGTTCTGTTCTAGTTCTGTTCTAGTTCTGTTCTAGTTCTGTTCTAGTTCTGTTCTAGTTCTGTTCTAGTCTGTTCTAGTTCTGTTCTAGTTCTGTTCTAGTTCTGTTCTAGTTCTGTTCTAGTTCTGTTCTAGTTCTGTTCTAGTTCTGTTCTAGTTCTGTTCTAGTTCTGTTCTAGTTCTGTTCTAGTTCTGTTCTAGTTCTGTTCTAGTTCTGTTCTAGTTCTGTTCTAGTTCTGTTCTAGTTCTGTTCTAGTTCTGTTCTAGTTCTGTTCTAGTTCTGTTCTAGTTCTGTTCTAGTTCTGTTCTAGTTCTGCTCTAGTTCTGTTCTAGTTCTGTTCTAGTTCTGTTCTAGTTCTGTTCTAGTTCTGTTCTTGTTCTGTTCTAGTTCTGTTCTAGTTCTGTTCTAGTTCTGTTCTAGTTCTGTTCTAGTTCTGTTCTAGTTCTGTTCTAGTTCTGTTCTAGTGCTGTTCTAGTTCTGTTCTAGTTCTGTTCTAGTTCTGCTCTAGTTCTGTTCTAGTTCTGTTCTAGTTCTGTTCTAGTTCTATTCTGTTCTAGTCCTGATCTAGTTCAGTTCTAGCTCTCTTCTAGTTCTGTTCTAGTTCTATTCTGTTCTAGTCCTGATCTAGTTCTGTTCTAGTTCAGTTCCAGATTTGTTCTAGTTTTGTTCTTGTTCTAGTTCTGTTCTATTTCAGCTGTAGGAAACGGTGTTACAATAAAATATAATTTTAATACATGTCATTAGTAGTAAGAAATTATATTCCCAAACAATTTGTATATTTTTTTACAAATTCAAAATAACGTTAAATGTAGAAAACGTAAAACAAAAACAAAATTTGAAATTAGAAAAATAGTTTTTCTTTGTTTTTTTTTTAGTTTTTGGTTAATGTGGAGGGTTGTTAAAATATGACACGCGCTATATGCTACAACAAATAAATACAATTATTTAAATTGATATAAAAAATAGAAATAAAATACGCATTAATACGGACACACATCCACACACACATGGACAATTTAAGTTTGAACAATGATTAGACAGCAGCGCAGCGCGGTGGCGTTGTAAACAGGGCATATGTTTCTCAAATACAAATAAAAACTAAAAAAACACACAAAATAAAAGTTTACAACAACTAAATAATTCAAAAAGGAAAAGAAAGAAATATGAAATATCCTGTAAATATGCATGTAGAATTTATATTAATGTTATTAATGTTTTTGTTTAACCGTTACATATTTACAATCTACAATACACATACACTTTCTTATACAAAACTACATGCTGCATATGTTGACAAATATCCTTTGTAAACTTAAACAAGGATACGTGTTTGTATGTAAAGTATGCATGAGTTGGAGTTTAAAATGTTGTACATTATACATACATACATATGTGTTGTTTAATTATTGTTTTATGAGAAGGTGTTCGTTTCTTAATTTCACATTAACGTGTTGGTGCGTGACATTCTAAAATCGATTAAAAAGTAATTTGATTTTTAAGTTCAATCAAATAGAAATTATAGAAAATTGTGAAAAGCTATAGTATGTTTCATGGTATGTATTTACTAACTAATTATTTATAATGTTGAATATTACATTATATTTAGGAGGTTTTAAAGCTTTATACATATCTGTCATTTTTACATGTGTTTATTGAACAATTCATTATTTTAATAATAAATATCTTCTAGTTCTAGTTCAGTTCTAGTTTAGTTCTAGTTCAGTTCTAGTTCAGTTCTAGTTCAGTTCTAGTTCAGTTCTAGTTCAGTTCTAGTTCAGTTCTAGTTCATTTCTAGTTCAGTTCTAGTTCAGTTCTAGTTCAGTTCTAGTTCAGTTCTAGTTCGTTCTAGTTCAGTTCTAGTTCAGTTTCTAGTTCAGTTCTAGTTCAGTTCTAGTTCAGTTCTAGTTCAGTTCTAGTTCAGTTCTAGTTCAGTTCTAGTTCAGTTCTAGTTAGTAGTTCTAGTTCAGTTCTAGTTCAGTTCTAGTTCAGTTCTAGTTCAGTTCTAGTTCAGTTCTAGTTCAGTTCTAGTTCAGTTCTAGTTCAGTTCTAGTTCAGTTCTAGTTCAGTTCTAGTTCAGTTCTAGTTCAGTTCTAGTTCAGTTCTAGTTCAGTTCTAGTTCAGTTCTAGTTCAGTTCTAGTTCAGTTCTAGTTCAGTTCTAGTTCAGTTCTAGTTCAGTTCTAGTTCAGTTCTAGTTCAGTTCTAGTTCAGTTCTAGTTCAGTTCTAGTTCAGTTCTAGTTCAGTTCTAGTTCAGTTTCTAGTTTCAGTTCTAGTTCAGTTTCTAGTTCAGTTCTAGTTCAGTTCTAGTTCAGTTCTAGTTCAGTTCTAGTTCAGTTCTAGTTCAGTTCTAGTTCAGTTCTAGTTCAGTTCTAGTTCAGTTCTAGTTCAGTTCTAGTTCAGTTCTAGTTCAGTTCTAGTTCAGTTCTAGTTCAGTTCTAGTTCAGTTCTAGTTCAGTTCTAGTTCAGTTCTAGTTCAGTTCTAGTTCAGTTCTAGTTCAGTTCTAGTTCAGTTCTAGTTCAGTTCTAGTTCAGTTCTAGTTCAGTTCTAGTTCAGTTCTAGTTCAGTTCTAGTTCAGTTCTAGTTCAGTTCTAGTTCAGTTCTAGTTCAGTCTAGTTCAGTTCTAGTTCAGTCTAGTTCAGTTTAGTTTCAGCTTAGTTCTAGATTTAAATAATAGATTTCTACACAAAATTTGTTTTGCTATTTATAATTGGTGTTAGTGAAAAGATTAGATACAAGTGTTTGGCTGAGTGGGGCTGAGGCAGGTGATATTTTATGAGGACAAAAAAAGAGAAAGATAAAAAATTTATAAATTTATTTTGTTTTATTAATTTTTATTTATACAAAAACAAATGAGTTTTAATTTTTATTATTTTATCATTATCACTGATAAGGGACGTGGTACGTGTATGTTAATATTTAAGGGTTTTATTTGAAAAAAAAAGGCTTTAACTAAAATCATAAATACACAACGTATAATATATAACTGCTGTAAATTGTGTAAATTAAAATATTTAATTAAATTAATTAAAGACAACTAAAACTTGCTGCCATATTTAAGACTTTTTATTGCGCTGTAAACTTTTTTCTATATTGCCGCGAAAATGTCTTAGGAAACCCTGTACCGCAGAGGCATTACCTTCTGAAAAAGAACATATTGTATTACCGGCAGCCCATTTAGAGATTTCCCATAGCCAATCGATTTCCTGACGCTGGCCAATACCCATTTGAAATTGTTGACAATATTCATGGGCCCAAACAGATTGGCCACGACATCGGGAACACTGATGACAAGAGCTTTTTTTGTAAAATAATAATAAACGTTTTATGGCCTCGAAAATGTCAAAAGATTTATCGATGACTATAACAGCACCAGTGCCTAAAGAACTATTTACTGCTTTCAGAGATTTCCAATCTAGTGTTAAATTGTTACAGAGATTTTTAGGCAGCATGGGCGTAGAGGAGCCTCCTGGTATTACGGCTAAAAGGTTGTCCCAACCTCCACTTACACCACCAGCATGATGTTCGATTAATTTTTTAAGGGGTACTCCCATATGTTCCTCCACTGTACAGGGGTTATTAACACAACCAGATATATTGAATAATTTAGAGCCGGGACTATAGGGAGGACAGCCCAGACTTAAAAACCATTTGCTGCCTCTGCGACATATCGTGGGTATTAGCGCCACAGTTTCCACATTAAGTAAAGTTGTTGGCTTATCGTAGAGACCTTTTTCAGAGGGATATGGTGGTTTTCTGCGAGGTCTAGCCTCTGCACCCATTAGACAATTTAATAAAGCTGTTTCTTCTCCCGATATATATTTGCCACCACCGCGTTGTATAAATATATCAAAATTAAAACCACTACCACAAGCATTTGGACCCACTAGACCTGCTTGATACGCTTCCGTAAGAGCCATTTGGAGATTGCAGGCTTCATGGTAAAACCGGCCTCTTACAAATATCACAGCCGCTGTAGCAGAAATAGCACGACCTACTAGCAGAGCCCCTTCGATTAACTTTTGGGGCTCATGGCGCATTATCTCACGATCTTTACAAGTACCAGGTTCACCTTCGGCTCCATTTACCACTACATATCTGGGTGTTGTGATTTTAAACTTTTGCATATATCTCAATTTTTTACCCACTGGGAAAAAGGCTCCTCCACGACCTCTTACACCTGAATTTTCTAGTTCATCAACAATCCATTCTGGTCCTTTGGCTATAATTTCTCTTGTCTTATACCAATCTCCTCGTGAGAAGGCTGCATTCAAATGCCAATCATGTCGACCATAGAGATTTGTAAAAATACGATCTTTATCTGTTAGCAGTTTAAATTTGGGTGCTATTTGGTTGTTAGTATATTTTCTGGAGGGGATTTTTAAGGTATAGCAGAGACTTTGCAATATTATGGAAGTTTTAGTTATTTTTGAACACATTTTTTCTTGAAACTAATTTGTATTATAGAATGATATTAAAAAGTCATTATTTGTTTTGTTTCGAAATACGAGGGAAGTTTTAAGAATGAAAACTTAAATTCCAATATTTTCGAATTAACCCTTGAAATCCTATAGAGCAAGACAACAAACGATTTTTCGATTTCTTAGGATGAAAATTAGAATTTTCTTTAAAAGTTCGCAACTTATCTCTAATAACACGATTTTCTATGATTTGTGAGGTCTTCATTAAGTCAAGACATGTCAGGAACCTAACTTATCGCCTTATCAATTAAAAGTTTGAATTCCAATCGGGACAGGTTTATACAAATGCCACGGACCTCGAAATCTAATAGGAAAAAAACCCCAGAAGTTAGCCATTAGCATTCAAAAAGTATCCACACTACTCCCTTTAGAGTCCCTTCAACAAGCTATTTTTCTAGTTCTAATAATGCACTGCATAGGTGGGAGCATAATTTCCGATATTACGGCCCAGTCAGCCAATTAAAGTTTAAATTTCATTGCGACGTAAAAACGAATCGATATTACATCCGAGAGATAAAATTAGATTTAAATAATGAAATTTTCTTGAAAGTTACTTTGAAAGGTCATTAATGACGTCTTTAATTTGGTCTACTTTTTCTTAGTTAGAACCTCTTGATATAATCATACAAATGAAACGATTAAAATAACTAAATTGTCATTGAACTAAAACTAAAAATTACCAATTAATTAAATAAAGTTTAATTATTTTTTTCCTCTCGTAAGTTTTACAAAGTAATAATGTAACAAATTACAAGCAATGGAAATCTTAAATCCTCCACCTAAGATCCTAAATAACTTTAAGTAAATCACAACTCATCTATTAAAAAGAAAAATACACACAAACAAACATACCTACATGAATTATTAGGGTAGTATTTATTTTGTTCTAAATAGTAATCATTCTAGGAATTACAAAATTTGAGCAACAGGATACATTTCGAAAGAGGACTGGAGGTAACTATGAACTGAACCACATTATGCTTAATTTTTACAGCCTCTTGGATTATGGCATGGGCTTATTAATAGACCATTTCATGGACTGACTAATTAATCCATTAGTGCATCGACTATTGAAAAGTCCTTGTACTAGTCAATAGACAAGTCCACAAATAAGTCCAATGAATTGCCAATAGACCATAGATGATAGACTAAGTCATTAACTAGTTCATAGACTAGTCCATAAACAACTCAATAGATATGTCCATAAACTAGATATGGGAGTAGTCAATAGACCAATCCATAGAATAGCCAAAGTGAAAAATTCTAGTCAAATAACCAGTTCATAGACTAATCAATACACTAATTCATAGACTATTTAATAGATTAGTCCAAAGAGTAGTAAATACTCAAGGCGACAAACTAGTAAATAGACTGGTTCATAGTCCAGTCAATAGACTAGATTATAGACTAGTCCCCTAGATATAGACTAGATCACACCACAAATAAGTCAATAAATAGTCTTAATAGAAACAAATGCTGAAAAGTACTTAAGTAATTTAATATCACAGAGTACTTTTATAGAAAACTACTAACTAGATTCTAGGGGTTTAACAAGTGGGAGAGGTAGAGCAAAACATGGACCGATATTTATGGCAATTTAAGCGCCTTAGCTACTCCCATTTGTTGCCTATTGTTTTTTCAAATGATACACCAATGGACGAATATCACTAGATTGTCTTGAAATTTTATAAGTATCCAGAATATATATATATTACTCGGGTGGGTCTAATGACAATATTTCGATTAGTTAGACATATATTTTTTTTTACTTCGGGGTCAAAAACTATTTTACTATTATATTGAAAGTGGTATATAAATACATATGTATATATGTACATATTAATCCTTTAATGCCTTAGGACCAAACTAACCCAAAAATAGTACTTCACATTTTCCGATTTGTCTCAAATTTTCACTCCCCAAAAATTCCTAAAGCTAAAAATTTCATAAAAAGTAACTTCCCTTCTATTGTATACACTTACATACATACAACATTTTACACACACATACACATCTCTAATACATTCAAACACGTGCTGTTATTTCCTTTAATTTTTTACTATTCTCTCCTTTCTTTAAGGTCAAGCTTAAGAATTACACATGAACGCACATACAAACAAACAAATAAATGGACATTTACTCAAGCAAAAGCACATATAGTACATACATACATAGAAACATACATATACGGACAGTATATAAAGAAGAGTATGTAGAAAAGTGCAAGAAATTCTTCTACTATTTGGGAGTATTTTGTAATTTTTGTTGTAAATGAAAAGCGAAAAAAAAGAAAAATTGATCAAAATTAGAAATAAATACAAAATATACACACATACGTATACAATGTAACTTACATAGTGACATGAATACATATGTATGTACATACATATGTATAGACTTACATACACTTACAAATATAGTTTTACTTTTCACTTTTTTTTCTAACAAATTTTACTTTTATTTTTTCTCAATTTTACTTTCAAAAAGTCTAAACCAGGCAACGGATGGATGCTGTTGCTACTACCCCATTAAATTTAATACTTACATACATACATACACCTATGTATACATACATATATGAATATTTGTATGTATGTTTAGCAGGGTTGCTAGGTTGTCTGTTTAGTCCATCACTGTTTGATGACCCTTTATAAAAACAAAAAACTAAGAAATTTCTACGTAATGGTTGCCACTGACGAAGACATATTCTTAAGTATTATTTGGGAGAAAAAATTATTATTGATTATGAATTTTAATTTTCCAAGGAAATTTCCAGTTGGGAGCTCCTTTACATGGATAACTAATGTTGGTGGGAAAAACCTTATATGGTGATCTATGAAGGTATTATTCTTCAATGTTCAGTTTCCTATCAATGTTCTTGGGGTATGTTATATCCCAAGTCTAGTCTATAGTCTAGTCTATAGTCTAGTCTATAGTCTAGTCTATAGTCTAGTCTATAGTCTAGTCTATAGTCTAGTCTATAGTCTAGTCTATAGTCTAGTCTATAGTCTAGTCTATAGTCTAGTCTATAGTCTAGTCTATAGTCTAGTCTATAGTCTAGTCTAGTCTATAGTCTAGTCTATGGTCTAGTCTATAGTCTAGTCTATAGTCTAGTCTATAGTCTAGTCTATAGTCTAGTCTATAGTCTAGTCTATAGTCTAGTCTATAGTCTAGTCTATAGTCTAGTCTATAGTCTAGTCTATAGTCTAGTCTATAGTCTAGTCTATAGTCTAGTCTATAGTCTAGTCTATAGTCCAGTCTATAGTCTAGTCTATAGTCTATTCTAAGGCTAGTCTATAGTCTAGTCTATAGTCTAGTCTATAGTCTAGTCTATAGTCTAGTCTATAGTCTAGTCTATAGTCTAGTCTATAGTCTAGTCTATAGTCTAGTCTATAGTCTAGTCTATAGTCTAGTCTATAGTCTAGTCTATAGTCTAGTCTATAGTCTAGTCTATAGTCTAGTCTATAGTCTAGTCTATAGTCTAGTCTATAGTCTAGTCTATAGTCTAGTCTATAGTCTAGTCTATAGTCTAGTCTATAGTCCAGTCTATAGTCTAGTCTATAGTCTATTCTATAGGCTAGTCTATAGTCTAGTCTATAGTCTAGTCTATAGTCTATTCTATAGGCTAGTCTATAGTCTAGTCTATAGTCTAGTCTATAGTCTAGTCTATAGTCTAGTCTATAGTCTAGTCTATAGTCTATTCTATAGGCTAGTCTATAGTCTAGTCTATAGTCTAGTCTATAGTCCAGTCTATAGTCTAGTCTATAGTCTATTCTATAGGCTAGTCTATAGTCTAGTCTATAGTCTAGTCTATAGTCTAGTCTATAGTCTAGTCTATAGTCCAGTCTATAGTCTAGTCTATAGTCTAGTCTATAGTCTAGTCTATAGTCTAGTCTATAGTCTACTCTATAGTCTAGTCTATAGTCTAGTCTATAGTCTAGTCTATAGTCTAGTTCTATAGTCTATTCTATAGTCTAGTCTATGGTCTAGGTCTATAGTCTAGTCTATAGTCTAGTCTATAGTCTAGTCTATAGTCTAGTCTATAGTCTAGTCTATAGTCTAGTCTATAGTCTAGTCTATAGTCTAGTCTATAGTCTAGTCTATAGTCTAGTCTATAGTCTAGTCTATAGTCTAGTCTATAGTCTAGGTCTATAGTCTAGTCTATAGTCTAGTCTATAGTCTAGTCTATAGGTCTGTCTATAGTCTAGTCTATAGTCTAGTCTATAGTCTAGTCTATAGTCTAGGTCTTATAGTCTAGTCTATAGTCTAGTCTATAGTCTAGTCTATAGTCTAGTCTATATAGTCTAGTCTATAGTCTAGTCAGAGTCTTAGTCTAGTCTATAGTCTAGTCTATAGTCTAGTCTATAGTCTAGTCTATAGTCTAGTCTATAGTCTAGTCTATAGTCTAGTCTAGTAAGTCTAGTCTATTAGTCTAGTCTATAGTCTAGTCTTTAGTCTAGTCTATCAGTCTAGTCTTATAGTCTAGTCTATAGTCTAGTCTTATAGTCTAGTCTATAGTTAGTAGTCTAGTCTATAGTCTAGTCTATAGTCTAGTCTATCGTCCTAGTCTATAGTCTAGTTATAGTCTAGTCTATATAGTCTAGTCTATAGTCTAGTCTATAGTCTAGTCTATAGTCTAGTCTATAGTCTAGTCTATAGTCTAGTCTATAGTCTAGTCTATAATCTAGTCTATAGTCTAGTCTATAGTCTAGTCTATAGTCTAGTCATAGTAGTCTAGTCTAGTTTATAGTCTAGTCTATAGTTCTGGGCTCGTATCAAACGTATCGGTTGCACTCGGTACAGATTTATCTCTATAAAGAGCTACCATTGAACTCTGTCAATTTTCTTAACGAACGCTATAAGAATGATTTAAATAACTTTAATATTAACCAAATTTGTTAAAAACTCTAAATATATTACAAATAAGTATTAAATAATCTACTGCCATTATTAAATAA